AAGAAGAGTAAGGGGAGAGAGAATCACTACCTACAAAATTCTCAGGGGAATTGACAGGGTGGACAAAAACAAACTCTTCAGCACGGGTGGGACACGAACAAGGGGACACAGATGGAAATCTAGTACCCAGATGAGTCACAGAGACATTAGAAAGATTTTTTTCAGTGTCAGAGTAGTTAACAAATGGAATGCATTAAGCAGTGAGGTGGTGGAGGCTGACTCCATACACAGTTTCAAATGTAGATTAGATAGAGCCCAGTTGGCTTAGGAATCTGTACACCACTTGATTGACAGTTAAGAGGCGGGACCAAAGAGCAAAGCTCTACCCCCGCAAGCACAACAAGGTAAGCAAAACTAGGTGAATACACACACACACACACACACACACACACATGGTCACTAGGCCACCAGGGGCGCCGGTGGCCGAGTGGACAGCACGCTGGGCACGTGATCCTGTGGTCCCGGGTTTGATTCCGGGCGCCGGTGAGAAACGATGGGCAGAGTTTCTTTCACCCTATGCCCCTGTTACCTAGCAGTAAATAGGTACCTGGAGGTTAGTCAGCTGTCACGGGCTGCTGCTTCCTGGTGTGTGTGATGTGAAAAAAAAAATAGTAGTATTAGAAACAGTTGATTGACAGATTGACAGTTGGCCGAAAGAGCAGAGCTTAACCCCCGCAAGCACAGCTAGGTGAATACACACACACACACACACACACACACACACACACACACACACCATGGTGAGAAGGAAGGTCTCAGGGTGCAGCATCATCACTGGTCGCTGTAGTCAGCCTCCCGCTGCACTAACTACTATTTAAGATACAAATGTTCCCTACTTCGAGACCCAACATAACACAAATAAAGGGTTAACATTTTACATGTAATTCTTTATAAAAATGTTCTAGTAGCTATTTAGAGCTAGTGTCTTACCCTAATGACTAGACCAAGGCGTATTCAGCTGGTTAGCGAACAAATAGGAATGCTGAGATGAACTCCATATGCAAATCTCTTGATAAAAGCAACGATTAATTAAACTCTTAAATATAAACAGAGCTTCACTGATGTCATTTCTAAGGTATGGCGGACTACAAAGATTCCATGACTCGCAAGTCTTAGCAAATTTGGTCGTGTGGCTTAGGAGCACCAATAGGCTCGCTGATCCAGTCTCGCCTTGGGAATTGTCACGTAACTGCCGTCACCCTCGTCCAACTTCTTGAGCCCGTCTCCACTGTACCTCTTCGGCTTTATCGCTGCAAAATGTATATACAGATTAATGTTTAAAGGTTGTTACTTGCACTTCAACGAGTCCTCGCGAACCAGATCAGGTCAGTGATGCCTTTTGACCAAGGATGGTTGTGGAACCTCACAACTGTCCAGGGATGGTTGTGGAACCTCACACCTGTCCAGGGATGGTTGTGGAACCTCACAACTGTCCAGGGATGGTTGTGGAACCTCACAACTGTCCAGGATGGTTGTGGAACCTCACAACTGTCCAGGGATGGTTGTGGAACCTCACAACTGTCCAGGGATGGTTGTGGAACCTCACAACTGTCCAGGGATGGTTGTGGAACCTCACAACTGTCCAGGGATGGTTGTGGAACCTCACAACTGTCCAGGGATGGTTGTGGAACCTCACAACTGTCCAGGATGGTTGTGGAACCTCACAACTGTCCAGGGATGGTTGTGGAACCTCACAACTGTCCAGGATGGTTGTGGAACCTCACAACTGTCCAGGATGGTTGTGGAACCTCACAACTGTCCAGGGATGGTTGTGGAACCTCACAACTGTCCAGGGATGGTTGTGGAACCTCACAACTGTCCAGGGATGGTTGTGGAACCTCACAACTGTCCAGGGATGGTTGTGGAACCTCACAACTGTCCAGGGATGGTTGTGGAACCTCACAACTGTCCAAGGATGGTTGTGGAACCTCACAACTGTCCAAGGATGGTTGTGGAACCTCACAACTGTCCAAGGATGGTTGTGGAACCTCACAACTGTCCAGGGATGGTTGTGGAACCTCACAACTGTCCAGGGATGGTTGTGGAACCTCACAACTGTCCAAGGATGGTTGTGGAACCTCACAACTGTCCAAAGATGGTTGTGGAACCTCACAACTGTCCAAGGATGGTTGTTGAACCTCACAAGTGTCCAGGGATGGTTGTGGAACCTCACAACTGTCCAAGGATGGTTGTGGAACGTCACAACTGTCCAGGGATGGTTGTGGAACCTCACAACTGTCCAAGGATGGTTGTGGAACCTCACAACTGTCCAGGGATGGTTGTGGAACCTCACAACTGTCCAGGGATGGTTGTGGAACCTCACAACTGTCCAGGGATGGTTGTGGAACCTCACAACTGTCCAGGGATGGTTGTGGAACCTCACAACTGTCCAGGGATGGTTGTGAAACCTCACAACTGTCCAGGGATGGTTGTGGAACCTCACAACTGTCCAAGGATGGTTGTGGAACCTCACAACTGTCCAAGGATGGTTGTGGAACCTCACAACTGTCCAAGGATGGTTGTGGAACCTCACAACTCTCCAGGGATGGTTGTGGAACCTCACAACTGTCCAGGGATGGTTGTGGAACCTCACAACTGTCCAAGGATGGTTGTGGAACCTCACAACTGTCCAGGGATGGTTGTGGAACCTCACAACTGTCCAGGGATGGTTGTGGAACCTCACAACTGCCCAGGGATGGTTGTGGAACCTCAAAACTGCCCAGGGATGGTTGTGGAACCTCAAAACTGCCCAAGGATGGTTGTGGAACCTCACAACTATCCAAGGATGGTTGTGAAACCTCACAACTGTCCAGGATGGTTGTGGAACCTCACAAGTGTCCAGGGATGGTTGTGGAACCTCACAAGTGTCCAGGGATGGTTGTGGAACCTCACAACTGTCCAGGGATGGTTGTGGAACCTCACAAGTGTCCAGGGATGGTTGTGGAACCTCACAACTGTCCAAGGATGGTTGTGGAACTTCACAAGTGTCCAGGGATGGTTGTGGAACCTCACAACTGTCCAGGGATGGTTGTGGCACGTCTGAGAACTACGTACTAGAAAAATAGGGATCTCTGGTGTGGTCTCACCTGAGCGGCGCTGACTGGCCCTGCAAGCAGAGGTGAGACGAGCTATTGGACCACGTGAACGCTACCTTAATTAACAACAGTTTCTCTTTATGTACAGAACTATGCGGGTTTATGGGTTATTTTTACAAGTTTGACTGAAACTTTCAAAATGGCCCTCTCGGCCTCGTCCTCGGCCCGCTCCTCGTCCTCGGCCCACTCCTCGTCCTCGGCCCGCTCCTCGTCCTCGGCCCACTCCTCGTCCTCGGCCTACTCCTCGTCCTCGGCCCGCTCCTCGTCCTCGGCCTACTCCTCGTCCTCGGCCCGCTCCTCGTCCTCGGCCCGCTCCTCGTCCTCGGCCCACTCCTCGTCCTCGTCCTCGGCCTACTCCTCGTCCTCGGCCTACTCCTCGTCCTCGGCCCGCTCCTCGTCCTTGGCCCGCTCCTCGTCCTCGGCCTACTCCTCGTCCTTGGCCCGCTCCTCGTCCTCGGCCTACTCCTCGTCCTTGGCCCGCTCCTCGTCCTCAGCCCGCTCCTCGTTCTTGGCCCGCTCCTCGTCCTCGGCCTACTCCTCGGCCCACTCCTCGTCCTCGGCCCACTCCTCGTCCTCGGCCTACTCCTCGGCCCACTCCTCCTCCTCGGCCTACTCCTCGTCCCCGGCCTACTCCTCGTCCTTGGCCCGGTCCTCGTACTCGGCACGGTCCTCACTAGTGACCCCAGACCTCACCAGTCACCCTCGGGGCTCACTACTGACCCCAGGACTCACCAGTCACCCTCGGGAGTCACTAGTGACACCAGACCTCACCAGTCACCCTCGGGGCTCACTACTGACACCAGACCTCACCAGTCACCCTCGGGACTCACTAGTGACCCCAGACCTCACCAGTCACCCTCGGGGCTCACTACTGACCCCAGACCTCACCAGTCACCCTCGGGGCTCACTACTGACCCCAGACCTCACCAGTCACCCTCGGGGCTCACTACTGACCCCAGACCTCACCAGTCACCCTCGGGGCTCACTACTGACCCCAGACCTCACCAGTCACCCTCGGGGCTCACTAGTGTCACCAGACCTCACCAGTCACCCTCGGGGCTCACTAGTGACACCAGACCTCACCAGTCACCCTCGGGGCTCACTACTAACACCAGACCTCACCAGTCACCCTCGGGGCTCACTAGTGACACCAGACCTCACCAGTCACCCTCGGGGCTCACTAGTGACACCAGACCTCACCAGTCACCCTCGGGGCTCACTACTGACCCCAGACCTCACCACCATTTTGTGCTTCCGTATAAATAAATTGTAAACATATCAACACCTGGTCAATACTAGATCAACACCGGGGTCAAGGTCATCAACGGGTCAACACAAGGTCATCAACGGATCAATACAAGGTCATCAACGGGTCAACACAAGGTCATCAACGGGTCAACACAAGGTCATCAACGGGTCAACACAAGGTCATCAACGGGTCAATACAAGGTCATCAACGGGTCAACACAAGGTCATCAACGGATCAATACAAGGTCATCAACGGGTCAACACAAGGTCATCAACGGGTCAACACAAGGTCATCAACGGGTCAACACAAGGTCATCAACGGGTCAACACAAGGTCATCAACGGGTCAACACAAGGTCATCAACGGGTCAACACAAGGTCATCAACGGGTCAACACAAGGTCATCAACGGGTCAACACAAGGTCATCAACGGGTCAACACAAGGTCATCAACGGGTCAACACAAGGTCATCAACGGGTCGATACAAGGTCATCAACTGGTCAACACAAGGTCATCAACGGGTCAACACCAGGTCATCAACGGGTCAACACCAGGTTATCAACGGGTCAACACCGAGGTCATGGTCATCAACGGGTCAACACCAGGTTATCAACGGGTCAACACCGAGGTCATAGTCTTCAACGGGTCAACACCAGGTTATCAACGGGTCAACACAGAGGTCATGGTCATCAACGGGTCAACACCAGGTCATCAACGGGTCAACACCAGGTTATCAACGGGTCAACACAGAGGTCATGGTCATGAACGGGTCAACACCAGGTTATCAACGGGTCAACACCAGGTCATCAACGGGTCAACACCAGGTCATCAACGGGTCAACACCAGGTCATCAACGGGTCAACACCAGGTCATCAACGGGTCAACACCAGGTCATCAACGGGTCAACACCAGGTCATCAACGGGTCAACACCAGGTTATCAACGGGTCAACACCAGGTTATCAACGGGTCAACACCGAGGTCAAGGTTATCAACGGGTCAACACCAGGTTATCAACGGGTCAACACCAGGTCATCAACGGGTCAACACCAGGTTATCAACGGGTCAACACCAGGTTATCAACGGGTCAACACCAGGTTATCAACGGGTCAACACCAGGTCATCAACGGGTCAACACCAGGTCATCAACGGGTCAACACAGAGGTCATCGTCATCAACGGGTCAACACCCGGTTATCAACGGGTCAACACCGAGGTCAAGGTTATCAACGGGTCAACACCAGGTTATCAACGGGTCAACACCAGGTCATCAACGGGTCAACACCAGGTTATCAACGGGTCAACACCAGGTTATCAACGGGTCAACACCAGGTTATCAACGGGTCAACACCGAGGTCATGGTCATCAACGGATCAACACCAGGTTATTAACGGGTCAACACCGAGGTCAAGGTCATCAACGGGTCAACACCAGGTTATCAACGGGTCATCACCGAGGTCATAGTCATCAACGGGTCAACACCGAGGTCATAGTCATCAACGGGTCAACACCGAGGTCATAGTCATCAACGGGTCAACACCGAGGTCATGGTCATCAACGGGTCAATACCAGGTTATCAACGGGTCAACACCAGGTTATCAACGGGTCAACACCGAGGTCATGGTCATCAACGGGTCAACACCAGGTTATTAACGGGTCAACACCGAGGTCAAGGTCATCAACGGGTCAACACCAGGTTATCAACGGGTCAACACCAGGTTATCAACGGGTCAACACCAGGTTATCAACGGGTCAACACCAGGTCATCGAGTCAACACCAGGTTATCAACGGGTCAACACAGAGGTCATGGTCATCAACGGGTCAACACCAGGTTATCAACGGGTCAACACCAGGTCATCGAGTCAACACCAGGTTATCAACGGGTCAACACAGAGGTCATGGTCATCAACGGGTCAACACCAGGTCATCAACGGGTCAACACCAGGTCATCAACGGGTCAACACCAGGTCATCAACGGGTCAACACCAGGTCATCAACGGGTCAACACCAGGTCATCAACGGGTCATCAACGGGTCATCAACGGGTCAACACCAGGTCATCAACGGGTCAACACCAGGTTATCAACGGGTCAACACCAGGTCATCAACGGGTCAACACCAGGTTATCAACGGGTCAACACCAGGTTATCAACGGGTCAACACCAGATCATCAACGGGTCAACACCAGGTCATCAACGGGTCAACACCAGGTTATCAACGGGTCAACACAGAGGTCATGGTCATCAACGGGTCAACACCAGGTTATCAACGGGTCAACACCGAGGTCAAGGTCATCAACGGATCAACACCGAGGTCATAGTCATCATCGGGTCAACACCAGGTTATCAACGGGTCAACACCGAGGTCATGGTCATCAACGGGTCAACACCAGGTTATCAACGGGTCAACACAGAGGTCATGGTCATCAACGGATCAACACCAGGTTATCAACGGGTCAACACCGAGGTCATGGTCATCAACGGGCAACACCAGGTTATTAACGGGTCAACACCGAGGTCAAGGTCATCAACGGGTCAACACCAGGTTATCAACGGGTCAACACCAGGTCATCGAGTCAACACCAGGTTATCAACGGGTCAACACAGAGGTCATGGTCATCAACGGGCCAACACCAGGTCATCAACGGGTCAACACCAGGTTATCAACGGGTCAACACCGAGGTCATGGTCATCAACGGGTCAACACAGAGGTCATGGTCATCAACGGGTCAACACCGAAGTCATGGTCATCAACGGGTCAACACCAGGTTATCAACGGGTCAACACAGAGGTCATGGTCATCAACGGGTCAACACCAGGTTATCAACGGGTCAACACCAGGTCATCAACGGGTCAACACCAGGTCATCAACGGGTCAACACCAGGTCATCAACGGGTCAACACCATGTTATCAACGGGTCAACATAGAGGTCATGGTCATCAACGGGTCAACACCAGGTTATCAACGGGTCAACACCAGGTCATCAACGGGTCAACACCAGGTTATCAACGGGTCAACACCAGGTCATCAACGGGTCAACACCAGGTCATCAACGGGTCAACACCAGGTCATCAACGGGTCAACACCAGGTCATCAACGGGGCAACACCAGGTCATCAACGGGTCAACACCAGGTTATCAACGGGTCAACACAGAGGTCATGGTCATCAACGGGTCAACACCAGGTTATCAACGGGTCAACACAGAGGTCATGGTCATCAACGGGTCAACACCAGGTTATCAACGGGTCAACACCAGGTTATCAACGGGTCAACACAGAGGTCATGGTCATCAACGGGTCAGGCATCATCGTGAAAATTAATTAAATCATTTGCCTGCGGATATTTATTTGCATGTTTGTGTGTGTTGCTGGAGCGAGCAAGAAACAAACACGCGGCGGCAAAAACACAAACAAGCCAACAGTTTTAAATATGTAGATTAACTCCAAACACAAAAGTTTGTACAAAATTTTACATATCCAGAATTTCCTTCTGGGTTTTCGCGGATTATTTTAGAGGTGTGCAAAGTGGAGGGAGAGTGCCAGTCTGGTGGGGAGAGTGCCAGTCTGGTGGGGAGAGTGCCAGTCTGGTGGGGAGAGTGCCAGTCTGGTGGGGAGAGTGCCAGTCTGGTGGGGAGAGTGCCAGTCTGGTGGGGAGAGTGCCAGTCTGATGGGGAGAGTGCCAGTCTGATGGGGAGATTGCCAGTCTGGAGGGGAGAGTGGAGGGAGAGAGAGTGGAGGGAGAGTGCCAGTCTAGAGTGGTAAGTAGAGAGAGGGTGCCAGTCTGGACTGGTGAGTGGAGTAATAGTACCAGTCTTGTGAGTGGCGGGTCAGTGCCAGTCGGGAGCTGAGGAGTGTGCCCGCGGGTCCGGGAGCGTGTCTGGGGTGATGCCTGTGGCTGAGTCCCGCTGCAGAAGGAGGTACAGGCGGTTGTTGAGGCCACGGTGTGTCTCCGTGACCAGGCCCACCGTGCCCTCTGTCTCCGTGACCATGCCCGCCGTGCCTGTCTCCCCCACAGCCATGACCACGTCCTCATCCGACCCTTCCCGCCAGTACGACGAAGCTTCCCAAATGGGGCCTGCTTTGCCCCTGCCTCGGGCCAGCAGGAAGCCGCCCACAAGCAGAGCCACGCCCACACAGGAGGCCACGATACCCGCCCCCACCACCGCTCCGTCGCTGACACGCCCGTGTCCCACGCCCACTGGCAGCGGTTGACCGGGACTCAATCCGTGGCTATTGTCGCCACGGTATAGCCACAAGTCCTTGTTGAGGTCCATCGTTCCTGCGCGGTGGCCCTCGGCCATACGATGGGCCGAGAGTAACGGTCTTCGCGGCCTATCAGCTGTAATTTGAATCATTTTCGCCTTTTTAAGTACTTTTTTTATTCTTTTTGTTTCGTGTGATTTTCTGTCGGCTATTATCTTCACTGGCTGACTTGTGCTGTTTGGGAAATAATTTATACGTTTTGTTAACGTGGTGTTCTGTGGCAGCATCCTATTGTGTAGGATCCAGTATGGCAGCGCCTGGGAGGTAGCTGCTGGCGCTGTGGGTGTCCTTGGAGCAGTGCTGGTTACTGTGGGAGTGAGTCCCACAGTAACTGTAGCTGCACTGTGGCTTGGCGAGACAGTAGCGGCGGTGCCAACAGTGTTTCTGTCTATGGCTGTCAGGTGTCCCAAGCCCGCCGCTGTCACCACTGCTGTCGTCGACTGCTCGCTCCTGGTGAAGTCTCCTAACGCAGGGGTTGTGGACAGGTCCCCATCAGGATGGAATGTGACGGTGCTAATTACCGAAGTGTTCTCGTCCTGTCGCAGCATTTCGACGCCTGCAGCAACATTCTCTGGGACGACTGTCGACTCGTTCACCATATCATTGACCCAAAGCGTCGACCCGTTAACCACTGCTGAGAATGAATCGTTAACATTCTCAGCCTCGTAGATCAACAGGGCGCTCGTAGCATCCTCTCCGTCCTGAGATGACGCTGTGGTCGTATTATCTATGCTGTGAGTGGTGGCGTGAACGGTCGTGGTAGTCACGGAGGTCGTGGCACTCACGTCATTAGTGGTGGTTGACATTTTGCTGCTGGTGACTGGGACTGGAGCAGTGGTGGCAGGAAAGTCGTTCTCCTCCAGGAGCATGACAGGCTTGTAGCCAAAGGTCACAGGTGTCGAACACCTGTTGGCAGAAATAAAACAGAGGTAATAAATAATTTTAAGCAGCTGTTGTAATCCAAATGATTATGTTATTCAATGTACATCATCTCATGCAAAGACTCAAAGCCACTGCCGAATGTCTGCGGAGTGATATATGAAGTTTAATACTGACAAATGTAGAATTCTGATCCTATGAAATGATAAGAGTTTTCAAATATCCACTAAACTATCTATTTTCTACATTTAATTATGTAGAAAATAATATGTTGGATTAAGGTTACCGATTGGACATCGGTATTTTTGAAATTGGAAATTGGTATTATTTGTCATTTCATGCAAAGAGGGAGGCCTGGGGGGTCAATCCCGACCCGCCTATTATAATCTCTGAACAACCAACAGGAGCCTGGCAAAGCTTGGTGGATGTAGCGCTTAGCGTCTCCCCTCAAGGTGCGAACAGATTAACTTTATTTATATAGTTCATATCACTATGATCACCCATGACACTAACAAGAGACTCTGGCTCAGGGGTTTCACATGACACTAGCAAGAGACTCTGGCTCAGGGGTTTCACATGACACTAACAAGAGACTCTGGCTCAGGGGTTTCACATGACACTAGCAAGAGACTCTGGCTCAGGGGTTTCACATGACACTAGCAAGAGACTCTGGCTCAGGGGTTTCACATGACACTAACAAGAGACTCTGGCTCAGGGGTTTCACATGACACTAGCAAGAGACTCTGGCTCAGGGGTTTCACATGACACTAGCAAGAGACTCTGGCTCAGGGGTTTCACATGACACTAGCAAGAGACTCTGGCTCAGGGGTTTCACATGACACTAGCAAGAGATTCTGGCTCAGGGTATAACACATGACTCTAACAAGAGACTCTGGCTCAGGGTATAACACATGACTCTAACAAGAGACTCTGGCTCAGGGTATAACACATGACACTAACAAGAGACTCTGGCTCAGGGTATAACACATGACTCTAACAAGAGACTCTGGCTCAGGGTATAACACATGACACTAACAAGAGACTCTGGCTCAGGGTATAACACATGACACTAACAAGAGACTCTGGCTCAGGGTATAACACATGACACTAACAAGAGACTCTGGCTCAGGGGTTTCACATGACACTAACAAGAGACTCTGGCTCAGGGTACAACACATGACACTAACAAGAGACTCTGGCTCAGGGTATAACACATGACACTAACAAGAGACTCTGGCTCAGGGTATAACACATGACACTAGCAAGAGACTCTGGCTCAGGGTATAACACATGACTAACAAGAGACTCTGGCTCAGGGTATAACACATGACTCTAACAAGAGACTCTGGCTCAGGGTATAACACATGACTCTAACAAGAGACTCTGGCTCAGGGTATAACACATGACTCTAACAAGAGACTCTGGCTCAGGGTATAACACATGACTAACAAGAGACTGTGGCTCAGGGTATAACACAAGACTATATAATATTAGTCCCAGGAGTCTCCAGGGGGCTGTCACATCGGTACTATCCTAGTTGTTCTTGCAATGGTTGGGCTCTGGCTCTCTGGGCCCGTCTCTCAACTGTCAATCAACTCTCCTCATACACACAGACACACACATATGTCAGAACAATCATGAAGTATGCGGCTCCATGCGTCTAGTCAAGCATAAGACTAAACTGGAAAGGTTCTAAGGTTTGCCACCAGACTAGTACCCGAACTGAAGGGTACGAGGAGAGACTACGGGAATTAAACCTCACGTCATTGGGAGACAGAAGAGTTAGGGGGGACATGATCACAACATTTGATTCCCAAAGGAATTGATAGGGTAGATCAGGCTATTTAACACAAGGGGCACACGCACTAGGGGACACAGGTGGAAATTGAGTGCCCAAATGAGCCATAGAGAAGTTAGAATTTTTTTTCAGTGTCAGAGTAGTAGACAAATGGAATGCATTAGGAAGTGATGTGGTGGAGGCTGACTCCATGCACAGTTTCAAGTGTAGATATGATAGAGCCCAATAGGCTCAGGAACCTGTACACCTGTTGATTGACACTTGAGAGGCGGGACCAAAGAGCCAGATCTCAACCCCCGCAAGCACAATTAGGTGAGTACACATCCAGGAAACAACCCGTAGCAGCTGTCTAACTCCCAGGTACCTATTTACTGCTATATGAGCAGGCGCATCATGGTGAAAGAAACTCTGCCCATTTGTTTCCGCCTTGTGTTATTCCGTTCAGGATATTCTGCCATAAGATAACTATTGACCTTGACCAGAACAGAGGTCTCACCTCCTCCTCAACAAAGATATGAAGGACAACTCTATGGCTGGAGTTTAGACGTATAATTATCATCTCTATCTTGTAATTTTTTTATTATAATAATTATTTTTAATTACATCGCTCGTGTAAATGAAAAAAAAACCGCATAGTTTTAAACTTTTGTCTCGACTAGTATATTTTAATTATACTTATAATAGCAAACAGTTAATATTAATTGTAATAGTGGTGGGTGTAGTATTTTTTATTTGTACTTATTTAGTAGTAGTATTTTGTTTTATTTGTTGGAAGTCAGGTGGTTGTTGAGATCAGAGTCAGGACTATTATGTCCAGTTAGCTGTAGCTGTGTGGCATGAATACAAAATTTATTCATTATCATTATATTTTATGTCCTGCATTAATATGTTTGAATTGTTGAAATGACTATTTTGGTTCCCACCTGTTGCAATAACAGGTTCAGAATTTGGCAGAATTTTGTTTTCTTTATTATATAAAACAGATTTATACAAATAAAAGTTAAGTCACCAAAGTAACATTCTTGTAGACGAACACTACAAGATACAGCGTGAGAAACAGTGCAACAAACCAATCCTCAACAATGCTCTAACCCAGTACATAGCTATATTATGCAGTCCCTGTGACGAAGTGGTAAGACACTCGCCAGGCATTTCACGAGCACTTTGTCCTGGGTTCGTATCCTGGTAGGGGACGATTTGCTGAGCGTCAGTCCTTAACTGTAGTCTCTCTCTACCCAACAGTAAAATGGGTACCTGGTTGTTTAACGATTTAGCGGGTCGTATTCCGGGGAACATTAGGTTTAAGGAAACGCTATGCGTGCTAGTGGCTGTAGAAAAATGTAAGAACTCGTGTGTGTGTGTGTTTGTGTGTGTGTATATGTATATATAAGTATATATATGTATATATATGTATATGTATATATATATATATATATATATATATATATATATATATATATATATATATATATATATATATATATATATATATATATATATATATATATACACAATGCAAATACAAAACACACAAACCCAGGGCACAGCACATAGACACACTCAATATGTACACAAATCCACACAAGTGGACCAGACAAGATACTGCAATTACAGATCACCAGTACCACATGACTGAAAATACAGAAAAACATACAAAATAATAACACACACAAAGGACCTCAACAAACAGAGGCCGTTTGTTAAAGTCTACTGCCAAATGATACACAAATACAGGAAATATCCCAAAACATAATAAGGCCCAGCAAGGGAACAATAAGGCCCAGCAAGGGAACAATAAGGCCCAGCAAGGGAACTCCAACAAAAGAAGCAGACATCAAACAAATGAAAACATAACGATACAACTGACCACGATCAGAGGAAAGAGGCACGCACACGACCGAAATGAACACATTCCAAGGCCAGAACTCCAAAATGCTGTGACGGTCTCCCACCCCAATAACTTTTCTGTCCCGGCATCAAGGGTCATATCTCTGCAACCTGCATGTTCTCTGATGAGCAGGGAACATTTTGATATATGAAGGGAGGGAGAGTTATCGTGTTGGCAGTGAATATGCAAATTTCGTTTGGTTTTACAAGTGGTTTTCGCCCTTTTGTGTTATAAAATGGGGCCGAGGCTTTCCACTTCCCGCCAAAGGAGCGTGATGCCAGCCGTCTGTTGATTGGCTAGATAGGGTCACGTGGCCCGATTGACCAATGGCGAGCCCTCGGGCGATGTGACGTCACAAGGCGGAGGGCTCTGGGCGGCCGGCGCCCCTGCGGGCTCAGTGTGTCACGGCCCATCATCGAGAACGGGCTCGCTCGAATGAGCTCCCAATTTGGAGGCAAGGAAGCCCCAACCAGTGGACCCATGCAGCCGCATAAATACTGCAGATATCTACTGCACAGATCGTGGGAGATTATCTGACTCCTGTAGAGTACATGGAAGCTGGGCTTGGTTGGTGTTAGAGTTCCAAGAGCTCTTTTACTGATGGTCTAAGGCAGAGGTGAACGTTGGGCAGGGTTCGTGAGGAGGCCCCCTCCCCCCATGGGCCACGTTCAAACGCATCAGGCGAGCTGCTGTGCCAGGGGGCAAGTCCACTGAAAGACCAAGGAGAGGACACTGAACCAGACTGCAAGTTGTCTACAGTTCCAGTGTGTGAGGAAGAAGACGACGTGCTCAGGGACTTGTCTCCAGTACCTCAGGAGGAGGAGGACCTGCCTGCAGAGTGTGAGTACGGCGAGGACGCGCATCTACAAGTCGACTGAGGACCGTGTGTGTACAGGATCCTGATCAACGGAGGACCGAACGGCAGGACCGAGGACCTCAGCGACCCTCACCAGAGGATATGTCGACTATGTAGCAGAAAGAGTTAAGGTAGATAAATTCCAAATATTACCCCTTGGCGTAGGTGAGCTAGGGTATTTTCATGTCGTGAGAATTGTCTTTATTATTACTATCAGTGTGGTAGAGAGTTAGGCTGGGAGCCAGGTTACTCATATATACAAGAGTTAATATATATAGAAGTGTGTGGGCGCTGTGACACTTTGGGCAGCTAGAGGAAGTGGTTGGATTCAAGAGGCCAGGAGGGAGCTTTTGAGTCATCCACCGCCCTCCCTGCTCAGCTCGTTGATGCCGTGAGGAGGGCTTAGTGGGCGGCTGCTGGAGTGTGATGCTCCTTGGGACAGTCCTCTGTCCTATTGTAGCCTTGTGCTCCTGCTGCTGTCCTCT